TGGGGGGCTTCAAAGCAGCCGGGTGGGGGGACAGGGGAGAGGCTGGACCAGCTCATCACATGCTGCTGGTGGTGGTGCCGGAGAGGGGACGCCGCTCTGCGTCTCCTGGCGTGGGGGGCAGTGGGGTCTGGGGGATGCAGGAGGATGGGGAGAAGCCACCAGACACTGGGCATCCACAGGGGACGGGTACCTGGGCTGGGCCCTGCTGTGTCATTGTCCCCATAGCCATGAAACGTCCCAAGACAAACCTGGCAGCCACCAAAAGCAGCCAGGGATGGTGGTGGGGCCAAGCTATGGGGTCTGTGGGGAGATGGGAAGGGAGAAGGGCTGGGACCCCCCAGTCAGAGGCTGCCAGGCCGTGTCAGGGGCTTTGGGTTAGGTTTCTGATCGGCCAAGGGGTTGCCTTGCCCTTTTGACTCCCACACTGGCCCTTCACATCCCTCAGGTCTCAGCTGGAGTTTCCACCAAAATAAGTCTTTCCCCTGGAGGTTTTTGCTAAGCTGAAGCTCTTGGTTTGGCCGGAGCTGCTGGCAGCAGGGCTGGACCACGGGCTGATGGGGAGGAACAGCTCCCCAACCTTTCCCCAACTGCCCTTTTCCCCCACTAGGAACAAACCCAAACCATTGTGGCTGATCTGCTTTCTCTTCTGCGTGACATCTCCTCATTGGTTCCTATTTGAACTGAAAAGGGTTTCCATATCCCAGAGGGAAAAAAAATAGCAATTCTTCAATCAGTTAAGGACTTTCCCAGGGCTAAGGGAAGAGCCAGCCCCAGAGTGCTGGATCCTCCTGCACTCCTGCCTCTCCAGCTCCTCCAGCGCTGCACCATCACTCACCAGCTCCCCCCAGCCACCTCCTCCCGTGGGCTCACTCTCATTTTTAAACATCCCCACCGTTAATTGCAAAGGACTTTTTTTGTCCTGGGCAAGCAGGGTTGCAGAGCTCACGCAGAACCCACACAGGCAGCGCTGCAGGACAGACGGGCTTTCGCTGCAGAGGAGCACAATATTAAAGAAATATACAGGCTTTGGGCAAGTTTTGCTCCATATCTTCTACAGAAGCCATCCCCATCCCTTCAAAAATCTTCTCCCAGCTACAGCACTCCAGTGACAGAGAGCACTGGGCTTTGTTGTGTCCAGGCTTCACACTTTAACAACACACTCCTGATCCTGATTTCTACTATTTTTAAATCCAATGCTTTGCTCCAGCAGGGAAAAGGCAGCCCCACTTGCCCACCCCCCCTCCCCAGAGCTGCTGGCAGCCCTTTCCAGAGAATTTCAAAGGTAAATCCTTTCCCTCCATAAAGCAGATTTTTCCCCAGTGAGGGATTTTAAGGGGAATTGAGAGACTGGTGAGGAGCAGGGCTCTGTGGGGATGGTGTTATCAGGAGGATTTTGGCTAGCAGATCATCAGATCATTTCCACCCTCCCAGTCCCCAGTGCTGGGCTTTCTTACTAAATTTGTCTTCCTGGGAAACATTTGGGTTTAATTTGCATTGACTGCAGATAGATATTTTAATGCTAGTCTGATGGTGATGCTGGGCAGCCTAACCCGGCTGTGACACCCTGGCTGGAGCAGGATTCCAGCCACTGTCACCTCTCCTGCAGCACTCCTCGGCTCTGCAGTGTCCCCACAGTGTCCCCGTGATGGGTCAGCAGGCTGGTCCTGGCCATCAGAAGCCTCAGAAACTGCTGAGGACACGAGGTTTGCAGACTCCCTGCCGCCGGCTCGTGTTTCAGCTCCGTGCCTCAGTTTCCCCTTGCTCTTAAAAGGGGTGACTACAGCAGAAGCAGCTCACTCCTTGTTCTCAGCCTTTCCAGAGCCCCAGGCAGGGACAGCGAGGCACAGGGGTGGGACAAAGGTTTAGCCCGAGGTAGTCAGTGGCCAGCTCTCCCTCCCACACCCGGGGAAGCTGCACACCCCTTGGACAAGGCAGGGAGCACAAACCCCTACAGGAACGATCCCTTATGGGGTGGGATGGTCCACAGAGCATCCTCCAGCCCCGCAGCCCCTCGCTGCTGAGCTCGCTGCTCAAGCCCTCACCACCGAGGCGGCAGAGACCAGCTGGAGGATCCAATGGTGCTTACAGAGCTTATCCCCTCAGACCAAAGGGCAGAAGTTCAGGGCAGCGAGCCCAAACCTCACCTCCAGACCCCTCCAGAGGCCTGGGAGCGGCACCAGCCAGGGAGACGCCGGGCGCGGGCGGCCCCTTACCAGAATCCGACAGAGCCGGGCTCACCAAGCTCAGCAGCTCCCGCTCCTTCTCGTAGTCGCCCTTACAGAGGAGCTGCCCCTCCTTCAGCACGAACTCGTCGCCCTTCTGCAGGCGCCGCTCGCAGACGCAGCAGCAGAAGCAGTGCAGGTGGTAGACGCTCTTCTGGGCGCGCATCACCAGCTCGCTGGGCGCCACGGCCTCCAGGCAGCCCGCGCACTTCACCGCGAACAGCCTGCGGGACAAGCAAGGGGACAGCCCGCTGTGACATCCCACGGGTGCTGGGACAAGGGATGGGGCACCCCATGGAGGGGAGATGGGCCACGGGCACCCCTCGGGGTGTTGGGATGCGTTGAGGGGTCGGGGACAACGGTGCGGGGACGGCGGACGCGTGCGCTCGCCCGGTGCCGATGGGGGGATGCTGCTTTTGGGTCAGCTTTAGCAGTTTTGGGGCTTACCAGGTGCTGGCTATGAACATGGTCAAGTGATGAAGAGCCCGACATCGCAGATGCTCCAGGTGAACAAAAAAAAAAAGGGTACCAAGCCCCACAGCCCAGGTACCGCCAGCACCACAAGACAGCACCACTTCCACACGGGTTTCATCAAGCCAGCTCCACATGTCACCTCCCTCCAGCTCATACCTGGACCCAAGGAGATGCTGGAGACAGCAGTGGGGTCAGGGAGCTCATCTGTGCCTCTCCACAAGCATCCCCACCCTCCCTCACCCACAAACCACCCCATCCCTCTGGCCTGGGTCACCCCATCCCCACCTGCAAACACACCAGGAATGTCTAATACATCATAAAAATCTCCAAGACAGCATCCCTGGGGTTAAGGCCAGTGCCAGACTGAAGACTTGACGCGTCAAAAGGAAAAGGAAAAGCTCAGCTTGTTCCTTGACATTGATGTGACAGCGTTTGAGGCATCCCTAATTAAACCGTTCCCAGGTTTCAAGGCTCTGGCTTTAGACTTAAAAGCCAATAATAATAATAACAACAGCAATAACAGTTTAGGTTGGAACAGAGCTTTTCTGAGTTTAAATGTCCCTGCTGAGAATGATCAATGATTTACAGCAGGGGGAAACTGAGGTGAGGAGAGCGGAGGTGGCAGAATCAGTGTTGGCTTCAGAGCACTTTGGAGGCAGCTGGAATTAACCTTAGGGCCAGATATTTTCAGTAAATGGGATCACCAAGAGAGATGTTTGAAGGTATCAAACCAGAACCTCTTTGCCACACCCAGATATTTGACTTCTTGGCTTGGACACAGTATAGGAAAAAAACCCCACTGTTTACCCAGTCTCATCCGAAATATCTGTGGGAACTGGACATTATTATTCCCCTGTCTTGGTGACTTTGGCCCAGAAAGAGAAGTCAAAAGTCAGCACACATCCTGCAGAGGTTACCTCCGAGCTTTCAATCCTTTTTTTATTTCTTATGGCTGTTACAAAAACCCAGATAGGAAGGAAATGTGCTGAATCAGCCCCGTTCTGACAAGCAGAGGACCAGATATATGCAAAACCCTCACGGGAAAACCATCAGAAAATGGGGATTGTTTGAAAAAGCGCCTGCTCCCTCCCAGGTTTCCCCCAAAAATGCCTTGGCAAGCACGAGGGTCTGGTGCAACACTCTCCCCATGCCAGCCAAATCCAGGGCACGCTCAGCAAAAGGTGGCATTCCCAAAGAAGAAGGAAAGGGGTGTTATAAAGCTTTTATAAAACGCTGTCATCACCACAGAAAGTGAGAAATCATCAAATAAAATGTAGAGGTTAGGGAGTTTATAATTCCACGTATTGCCATTAGTAGCTTTTATTTCTCTACATTCAGCTTTAATTCCCCGAGTTTGCCGACAGCTGCCCGTCCCTAAGATGTATTTCCAGCATCCCTAAGGATGCCCTGGGAAGAGAGGGATGTGTATTCCCTTGAAAGCATCCCTTCTGAAGGGTCATTTTTTTTCTTGTTCCAGCTCCAGCGTACACTGGCTCGCGTTAATATTTCTGTAGTCGCTTCATTTTTAATTATGTCTCTTTTATGTCAAAGTGGAGGCTATTTGTATTCGTCTGGCAGCACATTCTCATCCTGTTTAAATGATGTTTAAGCCCTACCTGTTGGGATTACCAACTGCTCCCAGTAATAAAATATTGATAAGATATGACATTACAGCCATTCAGGAATAAGTGTGCCCAAAATTTGTTTCCGAGGCACTCATCAGAGAGCCACAAACCTTTTGCCAACCAGGCACAGCAGCACCAAGCCAGCAGTGGATGTTTCCAAGCCCAAAGCATTTTTACAGAGGTGTGAGATTTAGGTAAATGGCTGCCTGATATCAGACACTTAAAGCCATTCTTAGGTGGCTGAATAAATGATTTTATTTCCAAAGCAGCTCCCACTGAGGGATGCTGTTCAGTCCAGGTGTCTTTCACTGCCCACTGCAGGACTCCCCCGTCCCTGGGCAATGTGAGCTGCAGAGAAATCCACATAAAACCTCTTCCACAGTATGAAACCATAAAGAGCTCCTCATAAACACACAATAAACAGAGACCTCAGGCACTAAAAGGTCACAGGCAGAAAAATTACAGGTAGTAATGGAGGGAGTGCAAAGGGTCTTGTTGGAGTCCCAACTCCCTTGAGACCCAGACTGTAGCAGCTACTCTGCAGGGACCAGGGAATAACATGGATATTGCATGGATAACCCCTCATATAGATAATTCCACACATGGATAACCCCTCATATAGATAATTCCACACATGGATCACCCCACACATGGATAGCCCCACACATGGATGCTGCCCTTTGGGGACAGCCCCACACAGTGCACAACCTGCACAGATAACCCAGCTGGAACTCCCCTGCTCAGCCTCAGATGGGGCTGAAGGAAAATTTTCTTGCAGCACCAGGTCTAAGAATTAATTTAACATTTTAGCCTGAGATACACCAGCCTGGATCTGTGGAGATCTCTCTGGGACCTGCACCTCCATGCCCAGCTCTCTCCTGCTTCACTCATGGCATCTTAGGGATGCTTTAGGTTCTCAGTAGGGTTTTTTCCCCCCTCCATAACCTGTGGTTCCAAATCTAAGCCAGGCCTGAGTGGCAGCACTGGGTTTGTTCAGCCAGGTGGGAAGTGCTCAGGGCACCAGACAGGGAGCCCTGCTCAGCACTGGGATGCTTGATGGAGAACCAGGCTGCCATCAGCAGCTCAATAAACACCTCATTGAAGCACTGACAGTGAGTATTTGTAAATAAAACCAACACACTCGACTTTGGGAGGAGTTGGAACAAAAAGGTAGTGATGTGAGAAATTTCTATCACCACACATAGCCTTTTGTGTCTGATCTTTAAAATATTCCTGTTCTTGTTTTGATTAATTTGCCTTTTAAGTTTAGGTCTCTTTTGGAACGACAGTCTGCAGTTTTGAAGCCAAAAGGGGCTGGTGGTGGCTTTCAAGAAAATCTTGAAGCAAAACATCTGGGCATTTCCAAAAGGAGTCCCACCTCTCCATGCCATTCCTATTCCCCAGAAAAGCATCCCAGACCTCTCCTTTGGTGTTCCCCATCCACGCAGCATCACCGAAACCCAAAAAAACGTCGACGCACGGCCAAAGCCACCTCTGGGATGCTGCATCCCGCGTCCCTTCCCGATGGCCGGGGTGCAGCCCCGCTTTCCCAGCGGAGCCACCACCGCCTCTTTCCCCCTTTCTTCGGAGGTGACAGGCTGAAAGGGGCCGTGATTGACGGGCGCTTCCCGGCTGCTGTCTGTCTGCGTGCCCCGCATACAAACGCGGCCCCGCCGAGGCTCCCGGGGCGCCGATATTAAATCGTGACGGACAAATCTCAATCGCCGCGCGGAGCTTCGGGTTGGGGCGGCAGGGAAGGTGAGGAGGCTCTGCTTCCCTCCCTGTCAGCACCAGGGATGTGGTGAGAGGGGCAGCCCCTGGTGACCCCACACTGGCACTATCCGCAGGGATGAGGGGTTTTCCAGTACACCTGTGCAGAAGCGTGCACAGCTCACCCCGTGGTCTCACCATGGAGGAACCATGAGGAACCCATTTAGAGGTGCTGGGAGCTCCAGCCTGGCCACTCAGAGCCATCTCCAAATGATGAATGCCACCAGGGCCATGAGCCTGGCGTGGGGATGAGCCA